TACCTTATAGCTCCAAAAGCAAATTTGAAAGCTACAATAGATATAGGAATAGTTAATACATCTTGTGCCATTGTAGTAAGTATTAGATATTTGCAACCATTTACCTTCCACCAACATAGAATGTCAAAGTTCTTATCATCTTGTTCATATATATCTTTCAAGCACCTTTCTAATTTTGACTTTCTTTCTTTACATTGTGACTCTACTTTTCTCATTTTGTATTCTGACAAGGCAAAACCTCTACATCATTAACATAAAATGTCTTATCTAACTTTATTATGCTTGGAAACTAAAACTTGTTCCTCTATTAGAGCTATTAACAATTGAAGCATAATACTCAAATAATGCATTTAAAGTGACTATCCCCTAATTACCCAATTTCGTAGCCTTTTTTTAATTATAAACCTCATCAATAACAAACATAGCATAATTCATCTTGCATCTATAATTTAAAATAACAACAATGAATAACAAGGGATTGATGTTCTTTACATTTTCCCAATATTTCTCAAACTTTTGTTTCATTTAAGAAACCATTAACTGAATACATTAGATTTAGATCACACAATTTCTCATTAATTTATATTTCAACACCAAACATCATATAAAGTAATTATTACTAGTAACAAATAAAGAACTAGAGACACACAAAGTGAAATTATAAAAGTTATTCAGAAAAGGCAACAATCCATAGGCATAATCTCAATCATCTTCTGTAGGTAAGCTTTTTTTTTTTTACCCTAAACTTGACTCTATATTTGTCATCTTGTTTCTCTAACCTATCAAAAGCATTTTGAAACTTCAAAACAATTTTCAACATTAAAAAAGTTGAATTCCACCTAGTCTAAACATCTAAACAAACAAGGAATTTACTTGTTAATTTTTCTTGCTCCACATAAATCTTGAATTTTTATAACCTTGCAAGGGATGACCTCATATACCTCACAATAGAATAGATTCAAAATTTGAATCATCCAAATACTTCAAATCCTCTTTCACGATAAAACTAAAAACATGTGCACAATACCTCATATGTAAATGCTCACTCCTTAAAATACTACATTTTCAAATTATTAAATCTTTTTTTTACATATTGGATACTAAAATCATTAGAGCTTACATTATCTACCATGATAGTGAAAACTTCATCTATTCCCCATTGAAGTAAATGTTTCTTAATACATTTTTCAATAACATCATTGGAATGATAAAAAATTGGAGTGAAACTCTAAAATTCATTTATGCAATTTTTACTTTTGATTAATGAAACGAATTGTAAGGCACAAATAACTAAGATTTTACTTAGAAGTTTAAATATTAGTAGTAAAACAAACTCTTAGCTTTGATTTTTTAAGTACATGAAAAGTTTTTTTTCTCACTCAAAAAAAGTCATAACGATCTTTAGCCTAATGAATCTTGAAGGAACTTGAAATCGAGGTTGCATAACACTATGAAACTCATGAAATCCCTTATGCTCAACAATCATAAAGGCCAACTCATAAAAAATGATTATCCTAGCATGATATTTTTTTCAAGTTTCTTGATCAAATTTTCATATAACAAGTGATAAACCACTACTGTTCCTCGTATCATCCCTAGATAGAGCTTTAAACACTAGGGTCTTTTGATTCTCATCAAGGGTTTTTTGAGCATCTATTCATGTGGTTATGTAAGACAGTAGTTACATTTATATTAGGATACTTCATGATCTTATCACAAAATTGCAAGAGGCTTTTTGGTAAACTTTATTATTAAAATGTAACTTGGTGAAATGATCCTATACCTTGAATGTTAAACATCCCACTTTGTCACTTGGTCTTTTAGCATTTGATAAGACATATGTAGTGGCATTTCCTAAATCAATTGTTGTTGTTGTTGCTCTATGAATATGAGTTTCAACCACTAGTGGCTGGTTCTTAGTGATAAGTGACTCATTACAAGTACTTTGACTTTCAAGCAGAGCATTGCTATTAGGTGGATTATTTGATGCTATTAAATCCACCCAATTGTCTACATAAAGGCCAAATATAATATGATAAATAATAGATTAAAGATATAAATATGCTATTATAGAATAAAAAAAAAATCATGAAAAGAGATGTAGAATAGAGAATTATATTAGCATTAATGCATTATTAGTTACTATTAGTAGCAAAATCAAACATATTTTTCTCGTATACAACCTAGTTAGACTTCACCTAACTTGGCATACATTCAAAATATTTTTTCAATCTTAACTCTAAATAAACATAATTTTAAAATAAAATTTTAAAATCAACAAATAATTTGCTTGCTGTTTTTTCTCTTTTTCTTACTATTATAAAACTGTTTAATATAAAAAAAATTATAATTCTTTTTTTGTCAAATGAACACTAAGTGACAAGACCAATGTGAATGTTGTATTAGAATTCCTTATAGTAAAAAATGGAAAAGACTCAAAGCATTTAATCTTGCAAATCTAATAAGGAGATAACTCTTTTTTAGAAGATCAATATGTATATATGTTAAAAGTTTCCAATAGTTCTAAAATATACATTTATTTCCAATTATTGTTTTCTTTTTTCTCTTCTCTAATTGCTATTATATATATTATTTATTATGAAAATATTTTATAAGCCAGAGTTTTGCGTGAATCAATATTCTTTTCTTCATTTGCTGGAGTGTATTAATAAAGCTCTAATTGTTTAATTAAATTTGTTGTTGCAACTTGGATGAGTAAATACTTAATATTGAAATCTTAAATTCAAAAGTGATTTTTTCTTATCACCCAACAAATGAGATTAATTGTCAAATTGATAAATTCAATTCACAATTTTAACTAAAACTCTTATGCAATTACATAAATTTTTTTATTTACTCTAACTAAATTTCAAATTTATTGTTGGTTCACCCAAAAAAAATCAATTATGTACCAAGTTTAGCATGTTACTATAATAATACTGGTCAAATAAATAGTAGCTAAATTTATTTGGAATCTTCATTTTTGTTATTCACACCTAGGAATAGACTAAAAAAAGAGACATAATTGCATTTTACTAGCTTTTAGGATTATGCCTCTCTAAAAAATAAAAAGAGTGATAGCATTGTAAGGTTTTAATATTTATAAAAAATTCACAATCTTAAACCATGTCTCTGACCACTTAATCTAAAACCCAAGTGGCAACTACACCTAAGTTCATTAATATAAAAAAATGGATTGGAAGATCAGTGGTGTTTCTTTGGAGGAGGAGGGCTAGAGTGCAAGAGAAATGATGGAGATGCATTGTTGAATGTCAATGAATGAGTTAAAAGAAGATGATTAAATAGAAGGATAATAAGCTTTGGTGCGTCGTACAACATGATGAAAGATTGAGAAAGTGAGATTGAAAAATGTGTAGTTGAATTAGGGTTAAAAATCCAAATTGAACTAATTCGAACCACCCAATTCGAATCAAATTTTCAGTTTCTTGGTTTTTTCTCAGCCATACTGACCCATATATTTATAAATAACATCCGATTCAATCTAACCTAAAATTAATTTAATAATTTTAATTTAGTATAGTATTCATAAAATATTTTTTTAATATAAATTACATCTTAATTATACATAAATATAGTATTTTTATAAATTAATATCTTAAATGAAAGTATTAAATAATAATCTTATTGATATAATAAATATAAATATAAAATTAAATAATAAAAAATATTTTTATATATACACGAGTTAGGTTGGGATGGTGCAATTTAAAACCCCACTCTGGCCCAAATCAGACTTTAGAGAAGTACTTCACCCGCCTTTGACAAACTTTTGGTTTTAAAAAAAAAAATACAATCTTATTAGATTGGGACGGATCGAACCCGTAGGATATGTGTTATTTTGTCATTGCTAAATAGTCTACTTTATTAGTTTTCAAATCTAGATATTGTCAAATCCTTAAAGGCTCTTCATCAACTTTTTTTTTTTTGTCAAGTAATATATCTATAAAAATAAATTTAATTTAAACGCATATATCATGCCACATGGATAACAATTTAGGGTTTTGATTTCTATATACTATAACAAGTTTTTAGAAGACATTTATGTCGCGTTTGATTTTAAAAAATAGAGTCATTTTCTATTTGCATAGAAAATGAAAAATATGATGAAACATGTTTGATAATTGAAAATAAAAATAAAATTTTAGAAACAAAATGAAAATGGGTTTGAAATATAAAAAAAAATATTTTCAATTACGAAAATAAGAGATGTACATTACTTTTTTTGTTATATTTTGTAAGTTATCATATTTGAACACTTTTTAATGGCATTAATTAATTAATATATATTATATTTATAATTAGATACCAATAATAATATAATTGAATATTTTATTTATTTTCTTATTTTTGCATTTTTAGAAAAAAAGTTTATTCTTGATTAGAAAGCAAAAAATAAAAGCTAAAAACTATTTTTAAAAAAATAAAGATAAAAATAAAAACAAAAAATATTTTTTCAATCCAAAAAAATTAAAAATTATTGTATATTATTTTACAGTTTAACTTGATATTCTAACTAAAAAAAGTTTAATTTGATATTACATATTCTTTAACAAAAAAGGTTATAATTAAAAAATATTATATAAATAATATTCTTTTCTTTTTACGCTTTAACCAAATAATGACTTGTCAGGATTCATTTCTTTTTTTTTTAATTAATTTTAGCTATTAAAACAAGAGATACACGTATCTTTGCTTTCTTGAATTTTTTTTTCCTTTTGGTAATGTCTATCTAAATATAATCTGATCTTTTGCAAAACAAAATGAAAATTACACCGAAAAAAAGCAGGATTATGTCTGGTCGCTTTAGAAGGATTAGTGGGCTCAATTATTGAACTTAAGTTCAATTCTCCAACAACAAAATTGTAAAGTCCAAATCGATAATCAATTTCTCAAACCCAACTATGATTCGCAAAAAAAGGCCCAAAACGCTTCAGAGTACAACCCTAGAGAGCCCGAAAACGATCCATCAAAGAGCTATATAAACCAAACCATAAAAATAGGGTTTTGACGTCTCTCCCATACCAAAAGAGCAAGTTTTACTACCAGCCGTCTGCTGCGCACTCTGTAGCTAACCAGCAAAGTTTCAACCATGGCCGTGGGGTACTCATTTCTTTATATTCCTCTTCCTCGTTCGTCAAATGGGTTTTGCTTCTTTTCTTAAATCTGATCTGTTTTTTTGGATTCTCTTTTTATAGGAAGAACAAGAGGATTTCCAAGGGAAAGAAGGGAGGAAAGAAGAAGGCGTGAGTATTTTTTTTCATTGATTAAAGCTTTAATCACGCTTTGGGTATATTTTATGAAGGGATCTGTTAGTTAAATGTTGATTTTGTTGTTGGGTTCTCTTTAGAGCTGATCCATTTGCGAAGAAGGATTGGTATGATATCAAGGCTCCTTCAGTTTTTACTACCAGAAATGTGGGGAAGACTCTTGTTACCCGTACTCAGGGTACCAAGGTTTGTTTTTTTCTAACTCTTAATTTCTCTTGCTCTTTAGAAAATGCTTGCTTTGTATCGTATGTTAGATTTTTGGATATTTTGAACCTGATGGGAAACTGGGTTTCATTCCGATTCTTTGTGCATATACATACCTGGCTTAGTGCTTGGAATCTTTTTTAGCTTTTACAGGAATGGCGATTAAAAAGTTTATTGCTTTTTATTCTATTTTTGCATGCTCTTTTCTGTTTGCTTTCAATGAAATGGGGAATTGCATTTTTGAGCTGAGCCATGGTTATATTCTAGGTTGTTTTGTTGGACCCTGATGATATTTTTGTTAGCTAAAAGGCTGAATTGTCATTTCTTTTTATCTACTTAACCTTTAAAAGCTGAATATATTATATTAAGAAAATTGGCTACTGAACAGTTGAATTCATCTTGAGGAAATCTTTTGTCTGGTATGGGGTTTTAAATTCATGTTGACTTAGCACTTCACATAGACTTCTTTGAGGATGATGCAACACTTGATGCTGCTAGGAATTCTAGAAAGAGCCTGAATGCCATATGATCAATTCCCTTTTTGGTCTTGCATCCTTAGTCAACTTCAGTTATTTAGCCGCTTAAGCGACTTCATGAGTTGGTTCTACTTATGGTATGCTATGTGGAAGTGGGAAAATCTTAATGATATTTATTTTTGAATGTAGAACAGCACAAATGAACTTAGACCTGCTTAATACATCTAGTTTAACTTACAGTTATAGTTTGATTTCAGTGTATATAAATAGTTAGAACTTGGCGATTTTCTTGACAGATTGCTTCAGAAGGACTTAAACACCGTGTGTTTGAGATTTCACTGGCTGATCTTCAAGGTGGTGATGAGGATCATGCATACAGAAAGATCCGTTTGAGAGCTGAAGATGTTCAAGGAAAAAATGTTTTGACCAACTTCTGGGTATGATAAATATAAATAGCTTTATTTACTGTATTATCTCAGCGTTTGTAGTAATAAATTAACAAATTTGGTTGTTTTTGCCTTTACAAATTTTCAGGGAATGAATTTTACAACTGACAAACTGAGGTCTTTGGTGCGTAAGTGGCAAACACTGATTGAAGCTCATGTGGATGTGAAAACAACTGACAATTACACTTTGAGAATGTTCTGCATTGGATTCACTAAGAGACGCCCAAACCAGGTTAAAAGGACTTGTTATGCTCAATCCAGCCAGATTAGACAGGTGCAACCCTGATTTTCTGTCAAACATTTAGTGCTCATTACAGAATTTTCTTGACTCACAGAACACATATTGAAACTTTGCTGATCTCTTATTCAGAGTGTATGCGTGCTTTTTTTGAATTGATCAATCCCTTGATGACAAAGTGAAATTGCTTTTGGTTTTCAGATACGCCGGAAGATGAGCGAGATAATGACTGCCCAGGCATCATCTTGTGATTTGAAGGAATTAGTTCAAAAGTTCATTCCTGAGATGATTGGAAAAGAAATTGAGAAGGCAACATCTAGCATCTATCCCTTGCAGAATGTGTTTATTCGAAAAGTCAAAATTTTGAAGGCTCCCAAGTTTGATCTTGGAAAGTTAATGGAGGCCCGTTTCTTATATCCATTCTATGCTGTCTTTCCCTCTTTACAATAAAAATATTCAATGGAGCCTTGATATTTATAGCTGAATAAGATATCAAAGTTTCTGTGCATTATGCCTGATTTTCTTTTCTTTTATTTATTTAGGTTCATGGTGATTACTCAGAAGATGTTGGTGTGAAAGTAGAGAGGCCTGCTGATGAGACAATGGCTGAGGCTACTCCAGAGGTCGTTGGAGCTTGAATCTAGAATTGTCTGAGTCTTTTTTTTTTCCTTTTGTTTTTTTCTGCTTCGAAGAGTTTTGTTGATCATTTTCTTTTTGTTGAAACTTTGAGTAGAGAATTTCTCCATTGTTTGATGTTAAGGTTGTGATTTTGCAATTTAATATTAGATTAGACAATCTGACTCCTTGGGCATGTGTGTTGTTGGAATTGATCATCTATACTATTAATGTTATCCCATTGATCCAATGTAAACCTGGGTCACTGTGTTCATTGTGTAGCATCTATACGATTAACCTTGAGCCTCCAAAATGGTTTCTTTTCTTCGATCCAAAACCAAAGCCCTGATTCCTCAAAAGGCAAGCGTTTCAAATAATAAAAAAAAAATCTGAACAAATTTTATTAATTTGTTCAACTTGTAGTCTGTTCTTATCTCTAAACCCTTCAACGAACAAGAAATCTCCAGCCCTAAAACATATCGACAAATCTTTCAAATAGAAATAAAATAATTTTAAGTTTTGTGGTGTTGGGTTTTCTTAAATAAATGTTTTTATTTGTTGTATGTTAACCTTGACAAAAATGTTGGTTTTATTCGAAAACGGTGCTAGGGTGAAGTAATGAAGGCACCGTCCAGCATGCTGGGATTTGTCTTTCTTTGATTAGAAATGGCCCCTTCTCTTTAGAATTTTTTGCATCGCGGATTGGAGTTGGCGTTTTGATTCTTTGGAAGTTGATAGGTGACAGCTAACAGATCCACAATTTTTTTTTCGATCATATTCACTTATAATATATATAAAAAATTTATCATAAGATTTATTGATTTTGTTTACCGAAAGAATGTCCAAAAATAAATTTAAAAGCGTGAATGAATTTTCCTTTTCAAATTTTTTTATTTTTAAGAGGGTGGATCCATCTCCGAAATTCATTCATTTGACCAAGGTAAATGGAATTGGATAATATAAGAAAGTTCTACTTGTTTGACATTGTCACCCGAAATTACAAGATAAAATGCTGGAGGCAGCTTATTAATTGATCTAATTCTTACAATGCTCTAAACGCTAGAAGTAACGGTCTGCTGTTAAGCATAGTACCAGGAAAACTCTATAGGAAATTTTTGGCTAACAAGAAACAACAGGCTTTCTTCTGTTTGTGCTCTAGGCCGAGTCTCCATTTGCAAAAGGTCTCGCACACCCACAAAAGCAAGCCTTCTTCTGTCTTGCCATACGTCTCCCACTACTGTAGATGAAGTCCCTCAAGATGACACCTTTTCTGTTTTTCCCATTGCTCTTCCTTCCGTCTTCCAGTTTCAGCAAAACATATTCTATGCTCTGCACCTCAAACTGCAATCTTCCAATTTTTTCAGACACTTTTGTTGCCTGCTCTCGCACATTTTTCCTGCTGCTTTTTGCAGCTTCTTCTTCCAACTCAGCTGAGTTTGGACTCTCTTCAGCATCCTTCGTTAATTGACTATTGACATTCACCAACTCCTTGATTGCATCCTCCACCACTTGCAATTGCTCTTTAACTTGTCTGTATTCTAGTTCGTAGGCCTTCTTCGTCTTTTTGATTTCCAATCTCTTTTTCAGCTCTTTGACAGTAGTTTGAAGACTCATCAATTTATGAGCATCAGAAGCAAGTCTCTCTAAGACCTTTCTGTTTTTTGCTCCTTTCTTTGGCTCTCTGATGCTCGTAGATATCTCTAGCTTATCAATGCCCAGCTCCTTCTCAATCCGTGTTCCCAAAGAAAGATCATAAATTTTCTGCTCTACACCATTGAATTGATGACAAGCAATGATCTCCGCTGGAACAATTGCCCCTTTTTGCATGTCATTGATTCTTGAATTAACACCACATTCATGCTCAGCACACTTCCAAAACTCAAGCATTTGATGATCAGCTGTCCCATTCTTTCTCCTGCTCCTTCCATATTGCAAACAATCTGAGACTTGATCTAGGGGAATATCTTTCAACGATATCCCATTCCTCAATTCAGAAATCACAGGTTTCATCTTCTTTGACTTGAGGTTTTGAGCAAGCTCATCTCCAACTTGCATATCTCTATTCTTTTCTTTATATGAGGGCTCAATGCCATCAGCTGAAGCTTCAATTTTGTTGCCATTCGCATTACTTTGTTGCTTTACAAGCCTCTCCATCTCTTCCACCATTGCCTTTTCAACTGCTTTAAGCCTATTCTGCATCTCCTGCAAGTCTGAAATTCCAGCTGTCAAAAAAGCACTTTGTTCTTCTTTGAGTTTCTCAGAGTTCATTTCATGAAGCTCATCAGCCATTTCTACATCCTGGTTAAAACAAATAAATAGTCATTTTAAAAGCAGTACAATCTGATAATTTTAAAAGCATGTAAAAATGTATGTATCTTGGATTAGGCTCAAAATCTCCTATTCTGTTCCAGGAACGTGGCTACATTATGTTGAACTAGTAAGGGGGGAACTAGAAACTTCTTCAAACTAGGATTTGAGATGCTAAGCTGTTTCAATCATTGATGCTCCCTGAACATAGAAAGAAAAATTACCTTTTCTTTGTCATCACTTGGAACACAAAGCTTTGGCTGAAGGTGGGCATTATGCTCAAGGGATGTTATACTGTCTCTCAGTGAAGCTATGACAGGAACATATGCAGACATCTGGACCTTCAAACCTCCGATTTCACTTTCCAAGAACTCAACCTTTTCCTTCATCTGTCCTATTTGTACACTCTTTACAGCAGTTTCTTCTTCGAGAATCTCACAAACATCAGTAAGCTCATGTACCTTATTCTCAAGTAGAACTTCATGGATGGCAGAAACTTGGAAATCAAAGTAAAATGAAGCAGCCTCAGCCTCCCAGAGTTCAAACTCATTGCTTCTCTGTTGCAGCTCTAAACTCAGGTTTTCTTCATGTATCTTTTGTTCTTCAATTTCCTTATGTAAGGCAACAACTTCAGAGCCCAAAATTTCATTTATTTCACGAAGGTGCTCAATTTCCATATTCCGTTCTTTTCTATCTTTGGATAGTTTGAGAATCTGCTTCTCTAAATTTTCTCTAATTTGTTTAGATTCCTCACATCTCCTTGTCAGTTCCTCAAGAGACCTGGACAACTCTGCATTCAAGTTATGTGCAGCCTGAAGTTTTTGACCTGCTTCTAAAAGTTCAATGGTCTTCTGTTTTAGGAAAACATTACCAATACTGATTTGATAGTTTAATTGGTCATTTAGATCTTTGACAGAACATAGCTCCTTGTGCAACTTTTCAACAGTTTCATTCAGATGTAAAACTTCAGCACCTTTTAACTTCTCCTCCAATTTCCCAACCTTCTCCTTTAGTTCAGTGTTGATCACTTGGAAACCACTTACATCTTCAACAAGAGCTTTCACTTCAATAGCTTTCTCAGTACCAAAGCTCTCTAAAACGAAAGAGAGACTACTAAGGGCTACTGCCTCTTGTAGAAAAATATGGTTTTCGTCTTCAAGAATACGCATATCCTCTTTGAGGTCCAAAAATTTCTTAAGCAAAACTCTGTTTTCCTCAAGCTGCTTGGAATTTTCCTCCTCTAACAGCAGGCAAGCTTCCTGCATACTCTTCAACTTTCCATGTTGAGACTCCAGTTCAGCATTTAACATTTCTTTCTCCAGCTTTCCATCATGCACTTCAAATATCAATTGCTGGTTCATCTCCAGAAGCTCCTGCTTGTCTTTCTGCAGCATAGCATTCTGCTTTTCCATGATCTCAAACTCATATTCAAGGGCTCGACTCTCTGACTCAATTTCGGTGCCCTCTAATTTAAGTTGTCCAATTAAAGTTAAGAGCACTGAGTTCTCAACTAGCAGCTGTTGCTTCTCCTCCTTGTTTCTTGACAGTGAACTCTTTAGGTATTCAACATTATCTAGAATACGCGAAAGAGGAATTTGATCTGATTCAATCACATCCTGATGCCCCTTAACAGGATCAAACAGAAGAGCCCTAAAAACTTGATAAATCCCCGTCCTCAGTTTTTCAATTTCATCCAACAGGAATTCACCCTCTATCAGCTGCTCAAGATTTTCACTCTCCAACTCCCTAATTAGTTTGTCTGACAATTTGGATGCCTCAACATGTTTCCGACATTCAATCAACAGAGACAAGTTTTTTTCCTCAAGGTCTTTTATAAATTTTTTCAAGATGAAGATCTCAACCTGAGCCTTGACAACTTTATCCATCTCTTCTTCAAACTCTTTCTTCCTCAACCTACCTTCTTCTTGCAGTAGATGTACATGGTTTTCTATATCTGCTAACCGAGATTCACTTGACTGCACATAACAGGCACGCTCTTGTTGTTCCACATCAAGGGAATCCCGTAGTTCCTCTACTTGACAGAGTGTTGATTCTTTCTCCTTCTCCAGGTCAACATATTTTTCCTCCAGTTTATTAAATCTGAATTCCAGGATGCATAGCTTCTTTTCAACATTTTCTAGCTTAGAGATCAGGCTCTCTCTTTCATTTATGATATTGGATTTCTCATTTTTAAGATACTGGCAGAATTCTTCTAACGTCTTTGACTTTGATCTCAAGCCTTCAAGCTCAATATTAGCACCAGAAAGGGAACTTTCCAGCAATGAGTTCTTCTCCAAGAGCTTCTGCATATTCTCAGTCATTATCTGTAACTGAGAAAGAAGAGTGGCTTTCTCAACAAAAAGAGAAGATTTTTCTCCCTGAAAAAATTCACAAGACCTCCGTAATTCCCCAACCAGCTCCCTTGACCCTTCCAATTTGCCATTCAATTCCGATAATGAACTTCTCAAAACAGCATTCTTCTCCACAAGGTTATCCATGTCCCTCAATTTCCCAAAAAGAATTTCAGTCTCACCTCTATTCTTGCTGCATTCTTCTTTCAGCTTTGAGTTCTCATCTTGCAATGCCTTCACTGACAGCTCTAGACATTCCGGATTTAAACCCACAGACAGCAGCTGCTGTATCAAAGCCTGGTATGCGCTACTCAAGACCTCAATTTCCTCCTTCAATTTGCAAGCCTCTTGCTGGAGGACATTACTCCGGACAATTTGTAGTGCAACCTCACTTTCAAGTTTTTCTTTCAGTTCCTTCAAGCTGAAAACTTCATCTTGCAGATTCTTTATTGAAATGGAAGAAGAACTGCTTAATTCATTGAGGCTCTGATTTTCTCCCTGCACCTGCCGAATCTTTTCCTCTAGTTGATGGTTTCTTATCTCTAAATCCTTCAACATCTGAAGCCTATTTTGGAGCTCCGATGT